GTTTTGAAGAGTCTGTGAATTTCCCTCTGTCTTGGGCATGGTACAAATGGCTGGCACAGCCTCTTTAGTATCAAACCCCCGGTACCTGAGATGGAACTTGGTGGTGCCTGAGGAGGCAACGGCAGAACTGCCTTGTGTTTGTTTCAAATACACTTATTGTCTGCCCATATTTATGATGAGGTAGATCTTGCAGCCAGAACCTGTTCGTTTGAGCTGTTGGCCTCTGAGAAATGGACCCTCCCTGTTTGTGGTTTCTAGGGAGTCAAACTTGCATGGATGCCACTGCAAGTTTATCAGCCAAGTGACTGTAGTCATGATGACACTTAGCAATGTATCAGATGAAGAAGAAAAGGTTGTTTTCCACCTGAATGGTGGAGGAAAAAATGCTTGGCTAATTTCTTTTAATGGATGGCCACAGAGCTAGGACATCTGCCAGGGGTTGCTGCTATAGATGGGCTATGCTAGTAAATTAAGTCTGCTTGTGACTGTTTCTTGGCACTGAGGTGAACTGGCATAGAATAGCCCATGTACAGACTGTTAAACACTTCTCACCCTTTGAGACAGGATGGCTGCACACGAACTGCCCGCTGGGAATGGTTCCTGACCAACGTAACTCCTGAAATGTGCCCAAGAAGCTGCTTGACCCAAGCTTGGGTCAAAACCCAATCAGAGATTATTCTAACAATTTGAGTGTACTTGATGAAGATGCAGTGCCCAGCAGCAGTACCCAGCAACTGCTTAAATTGTTGCATGTTAAACAATGGGGATGGTCTACACAGATCCACTTAATTTCTGTTTGATAAAGATAAGATTGCTTAAGTTGTCAGAAAGGTGTTTTTTTTCCTCTTCCTTTCTCCCTCCCTCGCCCCTTCTCATTCTCCCTAGTACTCCAAAGCACTGAGCTGGGTAATGAAAACTTCAAGTGTTTGAACTGTGATCATTTTCTTTGTTAATTTGTTTTGGGGGAAGAGGGAGGGGCAGAAGGACTTTCCTACCTGTGTAAAATGCTGCAGAGCACTGCATTTTTGCTAGAGGACTAGTAAGTCTTGCTCCTGTCCTGCTGTTTTTCACTTGGCCGTGCAATGTCTGCTTTAAATTTCTCATCTCCCTTTACAGAGAATTGACTGAGCCTCTGTATATGGCTTTTGTTATTTGTACATAGCATGCTGGATTTTCAGAAGGCTACAGAACTCACAGGATTCCCTGTGCTAACATTTGCTTTCTATACTGTGGTAATTGAATGGCAGGAGCAAGATGTAATTGATTGGCACATATCAGAAAGAGGAGGAAATAGATTTTACTCTCTGACTGCCACTCAGTTTGGGAAGAAACCAAATTTCTGATTTTTAATTACGTTTGTAATGGAGGAAACAGAGCCTTATAAAATATTTCCTTTGAAGTGTCTGATTGGATTAGCTACATAAGTATCAATAGAATTACCTTGTGATCCAGTCCATAAGACAGCCAATATTTGAAAGTATTTTTGTGACTAATGCCTGTAAAGCAGCATGGAAAAGACTGGGTGACAGCACCATCACCTGAATCACCCTTATTTTATAAACACTCAAACCACGTTCCATGTGAGCAAAGACAAATGCCTCATCATACCTGAATAAGCCCCAGAGCGGCATCTCCCAAAGTTTTGAGCAGTAGAGCATCGTCAGCTCTCAGCATTCCTACCGGGAGCTAATGGTGTTTGCAATCGCAGGCACTGTTCAAGCTGTAAGGTTGCACAGAGCAGATGCAAACCGTTTAACATTGCCTAGTGGGTCACCAGTGAGCCATACTTAGGCAACTGTTGCATATGCCGTACAATACAATCTCTCTCGGATTGTTATTTTCCCAGTTAGCTCTTCTGTTTATACTTACGGTATAGTTTGCCTCAGATTTCCCGGTGCGGAAGATTAATAATAACTCTTCATAAAAGAGTAATTAGTGTAATGGGCTGGTGTCTGCTACGTGCATTGTTCTTCAGCAAAAGTCAAAATAAACATAGAATCATGGAATGGTTTAGGTTGGAAAGGACCTTGGAGATCATCGAGTTCCAACCCCCCTGCCATAGGCAGGGGAACCTTTCTTCCTAATGTTTAATCTAAACCTGCCCTCTTCCAGTTTAAAGCCATTCCCCCTCGTCCTATCACTACATGCCCTAGTAAAAAGTCCTTCCCCAGCTCTCCTGTAGGCCCCCTTTAGGTACTGGAAGGCGACAATAAGATCTCCCCGGAGCCTTCTCTTCTCCAGGCTGAACAGCCCCAACTCTCTCAGCCTCTCCTCATAGGAGAGGTGCTCCAGCCCTCTGATCATCCTCGTGGCTTTCCTCTGGACACGCTCCAGCAGGTCCATGTCTTTCTTATGTTGAGGACTCCAAAGCTGGATGCAGTACTCCAGGTGGGGTCTCATGAGAGTGGAGTAGAGGGGCAGAATCACCTCCCTTGACCTGCTGGCCACACTGCTTTTGATACAGCCCAGGATACGGTTGGCAACATCTAAGCAACTGTACTGCTTAATAAAATGGCAGGCTTTCTTAACTAAAAGGTTGTGTTTTTAAAGATTTTTAGAGTACTTTAATGTGCATAGCCTTCAAGATAATGGCCAAAAACATTTCCAGAGATAATCCTGTGTTATTTGGTAAAGGAGTTAGTCTACCACTCTAGTGTCCTACTCTAAACTGTGTATCTGAAAGTGCTAACATAGGATATAATATCCAGCATAACCACAGAAATTGTGAACTCTTCTCATCTGGTCACTGCACTGTCTCAGTCAATATTTTTGTCAGCAAATTAGACCTCATGTCAAGAACTCAGTTTTTGTCCCTCTTGTTGATGTTGCCTTCTGCTTCTTTTGGTGTCCTATATCCTAGTGTATTCTCATAAACCTGTTTTGAACCCAGGGGAGACCATGGCCAGAGTGAAAACTGCAGAAGACCTCAGTGCCTTGCACCCTTCCTCTCAAGGCATTGTATTTACCCCAGGACCTCGTTCTACACAAAACAGAGCATCATTGTGTGGCAGCAGGCAGCGCTCAATTAAATGAGCTGCAGGTTTGTACTGAAGTCGAAGTGTTCATAGTCTTGGGACTTTAAATCAAAATCCTTCTATTGCTCAGAGGACAAGCACTGTGTAACTTGCAGGTGGCTTCGTCCTCTCAATCCTTTCTGTCCTATTGTTTGCTTGGGGTTCAGTGGTGCCTTTCAATGTAGCAGGTTGTAGTGGCCAAGGAGCCTTTGTGCTGTTTAGGGTTTGGGGCACATTTTCCTCATTACTTTGAGAGAAGTTGTCTGTCACAGATATGCCATGTTTGCTGGATCCTGTGGACATGAACAAAATCAATCTAGTTCTGATGGAGAGAGGGTGGAAGAAGGAGCTATGGCCCTTCTCACCCAACTTGTTCCTCCTGCTTGTGTGTGAGGAAAGAGACTCTTTCTTTTATTCGCTTCTCTGAAGCCCACTGGAACTCGAGAGATGCCTTCTTCGGACCACTGTCACAATTCTGTTTTGAAGTCACTGCAAGAGCACTGTTTCCAATTATAAGATTTGATATACATCTTATCCTTTGGGAACTCATTTCATATGACTATACACTTACCACAGAAAGCTTATTTTCTGGAGCAGTAAGATTTATAGTTTGTTGCAATCAAGTATGAATTTGCTGTTAATCCTAATGTGGACTTTCCTCTTGCAAGTAATTTTTAATTATTATCATGTGAGGCTTCCTCCATCACAGTTCATGTCACTTTTCCTCCACTCCTTGCCACGTAGTTTTAGATTTAGGGTCAGATTCATTGTAGGAGTAAGCTGTGATGGCTCTATTGATTTCACCGGAGCTATATCCAGCTGTGAATTTGAACAGTTTCTTTTGTGAGAATGGTTTGAAGTTGAAATGAAATGTGCAAGGCATCCATGATTGTATACTTTCATTGTAAGGAAGGGAAAAGTATAAGAAAAATTTGGCTCTCATAAAACTGCAGCAAAGCTGTAAATAACAAAAAGCTGTATTTTGCCATCTTCCTTTTTGTAAACAAATCTTCTGAAAGCAGTTATATTTTAAGAGCAGATCCTAGATTAAAGTTTGGAAAAAACCATAAATGCCTATGAACTAGCTCCAGTGTTCAGATTTGTGTACAAAACCTCCTTTGATTCAAGTAGAAGGTAATTAAACATTCATAGCTGTGGCTGAATTTGGCTCATTATGAATCCAAAAGAAACATCAGGCCAAATCTTTTGGTCTTTGTTTAGTTCTTATTCAAGTCTAATGAGAGCCAGAGGTGTCTTAAATAATACAAGGCATCCCTGTATACTATATTGCACTGTCGGGTATTTCCACTCTCCGTTGCTTGTTGTGGTTTTAGTGGGAAAGGGGCTGGCATGTGCTAAAATACTTACCAGCCACAGACTCCATATACAGACAATGAATGTTGACCCTACTACTACGTGTTATCTCTGCCCAAAGCTCAATAACCGAATGATGTCTTTAAATTTTACAGGGCAGAGAGATCATCCCTGTAGTTTGAAGTGGGAGAGCTGCTGTCATGGAACACATCTCTCTAACTTTATTTATTGTTTTTTAACTTCTAAACCGTAAGTGTATATTCCAACTTACTGTTTTGGCTGTAGTAGCAGAAAGAGAAACCCCGGCATCTTTTATTTAAATACTTACAATTGTGTTTGGTTATTTATTGCTTTCAAATCACTGGACAAACAATAACCCATTTCCTTATATGTTTTTAGAAATGAACTGACTTGTATTGAATTCTCAGAAAAAGATGTGATTTTGCCAGACTTGGGAGTATCTGATGACTGCCTAATATATTTTACAGCTACGCCTGTAAGCTGTGTCCCAGATCCCGCATTATTCTCCTGGGACATTGGGCAGATCTTACTTCAAAAGATAGCTGAAAAGGAAGATGAACTGAAAAAAGCATTTCAGATGCTTGATGTTGGTCAGACCCTGACAGTCACAAAGGGTGAATTCGGGAGAGTGATTGAAACCTTTCTCTTCCATCTAACAGAAACTGAATTAGACGCTGTGCTGGCAGAGGTACGCTACGTCATTGCGGTTTATAATCATTTAGAGGCTATTCCTATTTATGCCAAGAGCAAAATATCAGTGGGAACGGGTTGCAGACCAGTATTATTAAAAAGATGCTAGATGTAGTCAAAACCTTCTGTTCAAGTGAAAGTCATAGAAAACTTGCAAAAATAACGTGAACTAAATTTGATTGGTATGTTTATATGGGGATTTTGTCTGTGTAGTGTATCTTGCTATTTGAAAGAGTTGCAACTAACTAGCAAATTTTTTTATTAAAAAAAAAAACAAATCTCAGCTTAAATTCATATACATGCAGTGTTATGAATATGCATAGATTAGGTTGTGAACTCTGAGACCAGCTTTTTTTTTTTTGGCTGCATGGGGAGCTTCTTGGCTCAATTTTGGTATTTGCTACCTTATAAAACATCATCAGATTGGACTTGAAGGAACATTGGATGTTTATATGGTATTATGACTGATGCTTATCAAAACCAGGGGAGGATTCTGATGCACAATCTGTACCAGAATCATTGTATACTTAAATTTGTCCTGAAATTGTAGGTGATATGTATCTCTTTTTTTTTTTTCTAATGCACTTGACTCTTGTTTGTTGGTTTAATGTAGGTGAAGTGGTCTATTACGATTGCATTTTAAACTAGTCAGTCTGTAATGGGTTAAGCCCATTTCAGCTAAGATTGATGTTAAATTCTTTGCTAACACTAAATTGTCATTAGGGGGACACACATACACCTGAAACACATTAAATAGTCTTTTGGAACAAGAGAAGGATGTGTCAGTGAGGCTGATGAGAATGAATATACTGTCATATATACATGAGAAAGACCATAGAGCTAGAGAGTTGAGAAATCTTTATCTTACATGATGGAAAGACTTGTAGGTTGCAACTTTTTGGGGAAGGATTTACCAGATGTTAAACTAATGGTCTGCTTAATTCCAGACAAGTTGCTGAGAAGTAGTAATACATAATAAACAAAACAAAAAGAAAATTATAAGATAAATTTATTTTAGTTATTTAAGAAATGAATAATGCAAATGAAGTACTTAAAAAAAAAAATATCTGGTATCACTGTAGGACTGATCCATGTATATTGAAATACAGATCCCAAATATTGGCAAAGTTACTGTGTCATATCTTGACTTCCTGTCAAAGTTCACTAAAGTTGCTAGAAGTACCAGCATGCTCAAAAGGTAAGTGTCCCATATTATGCAGTCAAATTGCTCCTGAATTGTAATCACAAATCACTTGTGAATTGTCTAGCTCTCCAGGCAGAATCTATCTGCTCGTGTGAGCTTCTAGTGACATAGAGATACAATACACTTTTTTTTTTTCCCAAAATCACTTCATCTGTGTGTGTAATTGGCATAGTTGCCATAGGAATGTTACCTGATTGCCAAAGGGAAGGGAATGGTCTTCTAAGCCACTGATCTGCCACTGAGAATATATGAACCTTTAAGACTAATCAGTCTGTTCTCTAAATTAACAATGAAAGTTGTTGTGTATGAAAGAAATTATAACAGATTCAGTTTAATAGGGATTTAAAAACATGTCATGTAGCTTTACATGTCTTTTGGTGAAACGCAGAAGCTAAGCCAAGGAACCCAGTAATGGGAAAGTTATAATGTTTCAGGATTCAATCCTTTAAGAGTAAATATCTCACGTTCGTCTTCATTTCCAGTGCAAGTAATTTTTCAATAATAAGGTTGATTGACACCAGCTGTGTGTGAACTGGGATTAAGTTTGGATTCTTACCTTCAATGTAGTAAAATGGAAAGTAGAGCCATACTCTATGTAAAAATAAAACCCAAACCAAATCTGAGCTCCCACAGTAGCTTTCTTAGTAGAGCACTAAATATTTTTTTCACACCACACCCCTTCCCCCCACACCAGTGAACTATAAAGGGTGAAATTCTGCAAGGGGATCTGCAGGGAAATTCCTTTTCCTTCAGTTTGTCCTGTGGGTTTGTATGATCTGGCCTTCAATAAAGAGTTGCCTCAAAAAATATTCTGTAAATTCCAGTCCAACTTTGTTCCCAGCAAGTGCAAAGCTAAGAAAACTCTCAAACAAAGAGAGAATGAGAGAGTGTAATACTGAGGATACAAAAATGGGATTAGGACTTTGAAAGGAAGCAGGAGGAAGAAGAGGAGCAGCAAAAGAAAAGAAGAAAAAGGGAGGGACCTAAGCCACTTTCTACCAGAGAGACAGGGGAGCTTAAAAAATTCTAATTAATTAGTGAAAACTAAATAACAAATGAGGGACCTTTCCTGGAATAAAAGGTTAATCTTTTCTTTATTACACGCAATATAATAAAATGGTAAAGCTTTTTGTGTGCTTGGGGTTGGATTTTCTTCCAGTGTTCAAGGAGGATATATAAGATGTCACTCTTGATTTCCTTTTAAACGCACTAAAATGTGGAAAGTAAGGATCATGCTTAGACGATCTTGTCTTTTGGCCAGCTAATTTGTTAGAGAACTGCTCTGAGACTGTCTGCAATGTACAGATGCAAAAATAATGGTAGGTTTCTCAGAGCTATCAGGCATAGGTCGATGTAATTTCACCACTGGAGGGCAGTACAGGTGCTGTTTTCCAGAAGTTTTGCTAGGTGGCCTTGTCAGAGCTACTTTCTTTCCCAATTTAAAACTCAAGCAATTACACTAAATTTAGAGGCTGAAATCATGGCAGAGCTTCACTTCTAGGACTTCATCCCACAATTACAGATATGAATAAAATTGCACAAGGCTTTTCAGAAGCAGTTAGTTAAGGCTGAAACCAGAGAAGGACATGCAGAGAGTGGAATTTGGCACCTGCAGAACCCACTAGTGAAAGTAAACTTGGCTGGTAGTTAACTCTGAAAATGACCTGCTCTGGTGCTTGATGCAGGTCAATAAGATGAGGAAACAAAAGCAAGGCAATTTATTTTTAAATTTTTAAAATAACTTTAAAAGTTACTGGTGACAAATGGGTCTCAGATTTGTGCTGAGGAAGAGGCATGCTTCTTGTTTTCTGGAGAACACTTGATGGGAGCAGAGGGGAGGGGAGAACTCATGCTATAACTTTCTTGGCCTTGGGACTCTCAAGTACTCTGCCATCCCAAGGGCCAGATCAAGCTGCTAAAATCCCTTTGTGTACCTTATGGCAGCCAAAAAAGAAATCCTTCAAGAAAAAATACTTTACGCTAACAGTCATCACACTTGCGGTAGAGGAGCAGCTGCCACATCTCTGTTCTGCTCCAGGGATCCAAATTTGTGGTGATTTTCTCCAAGAGTACTACAGAGCTGTGAAGAACAGCCACAACGAAGGCAGGATCAACGCACTTTCTTGCATTTGTAGTTGCTTACATGCTAAAACAAAACTCTCCAACTGATGTCCCTACAGTGGTCTTCAACAGTACTGTGATGAGCTTGTGGTTTATGTTCATCTAGTCTTTTTTATTATATTTATTTTCAGGTTGAACGGCCACAGCTGTCAAACAATGACGTTAAGGCAGCTGGAATCCCTGCTCAAGGAGAAAGTATGTTGACCAGGGTAGTAACAAAACCCACATGCTGGGGTAGTAATTCATTTCGGATAAGTAGATGTTGCTCTTGATATACAGATATCATTTTAGTAACTTGTTTAAAAGGATATTGTCCTGTTGTTGTATCATGAAGATCTGGTCATACTTGTATGCTTGGGGTCTTTTGTTGTTGTTGTTTTGGGTTTTTTATTATGCTAAGGTACTAAGGAATATTTTAAAAGCCTCTCTAATCCCTTTTTAGCATCAAAAAACTAAGCACTCTCTCTTTCAAGCAGTCGTGCAACAAATCTCTGGTGTAGGACTGGCATAGTCCCACTGTGATTTTATTTCTTAGTTACTAGATGCTCGTGGCTTGAGTAACAATGCTTTACTTATTTAAGAAACTAGATTCTCCAAGGCAGTACAATTTCTGATTTTTTTTTTTTTTTAGCCCTTTGCAAGACTGGTGTAAAACATTTTGTCACATCAGAAAAATGGTATTTTAGGCATTTTGTACTCTTTTTACTTAGAAGTATCCAGCCACCTGAGAGCTCAGTCTACTTAATTCTTAACACAATTTCAAACAGCACAAAACCACTTTTTTTTTTAAATTGAGGAGGAAGGGATGGTGTGAGTATTGGAAAGCTAGATTTTTGTTATTTTATTTTTTCACAAACTGAGCCATGAAAATCTGTTTATCAACATCGTGAGATTTTATTATAGTTTAAGGTGCAAATGCCCAAATAATGTCACATATCATGCCTAATAATAGTTATTATTTACAAGGACACAGAAGAGTATTCCATGCCTTCTAGAGCACTGTGTGACAGTCTGTTGGCTCTACCCTAAGACTGTTCGTGGAAGAAATACATTAAACATAACCTGATGTAAATTTCAAGGAAAATCCAACCTCCTGCTGTGCTTGGCATGGGCTTGGCCTGTAATTTGGGAGGGGGGAAATAAAATCTTTCTGATTTCACAGCTGTTATTGCACCTCAGGGCTGCAGTAGTATTTGCAACCCATTTGCTTCCCTTCTACTGAATAGGACATCTGAATATATCCTCACTCTAGTCTGAATAAAATATTAACATATCGCAAGGCTGTTAGGACAGATTGTATCCAAGACAATCTTTTCTCGCTGTAGAAAAGCCTATCAATCATAACTTGGTATAGTTGTTATTAATGTCATAGCTTTTATTCATTTGGCTATATGCAGCTAACTGAAGAGTAACGTTTACGTTTTCATGTTAAGCATTTCCTATCACAAAAGAAACTGTTGAAATAACTTCTTATTATAGAATTTATGAATTGAAAATGTCCTCCAAAGTCATATTTAGAGGTATATTTAATTTACAAGGTTCTGTGTTATTTTTTTAATCGCATTGTGAAATAGACCTGTTAGGTATATTTTAGTGCATTAACAGAAAACATCATTAACTTAAGGGAAGGTTACTGCGGCATATATATCCCAGGGACAATTCTATTAAAGAAATACTGCAAGATATGTAAATGCATGATGTACACAGATAATTATTCAGATACACTTAAGAGTTCATATAATCTTTTAAATATTTATCTGTAACTTATCATAGTGGTTGTTCCCAAGCCAAACCGTACTCTGCTTCTGTTTCGATGCACATCGTCAGTCAAGGGTATATTTATATTCATAACTCTGATTGGGTTTTGAATTTGTATGTGCATGTTAAAAAAAACTCTGAAAGTAACAGAAAGAAAAAGTTCCTAATGTCCTCAGTAAAATATGGAATAGTAATTTTCTCCTTGTGTAGGCAGAAAGCCCCTTTTGGACCACCTACCACATGTACCTGTATTTAGACATCATAACTAGCATAATGGCCAAGATCAAGAAAAGCAGCAGATGTTTCAGAGCGTCTTCTCGTCAGTGAAAAGGCATACGGGAACAAAGACCTGACAGGCAGCTGGATGGATTTCCCATCACTGTCCTGCACTTAGAAACTCTAGCCATGCTGACAGTTCACTTAATCAAGTGATCCAGGGCTGACCTCGCCTGTGTTTAGGACACCAAGTTTATTTGTTGTGTTTGGAAGTAAGCCTTGCTGCCTTTGTAGTCATTCTTACTTGCTCAGTAAAGTATAGAGAAGCTAGGAAAAGATTTTGAGTATTTCAAATGCCAGGGTAAAACTCTAAGTTTAGTTTTGATTATTGGAATCATTCCATCATTTCTAGTCAAATATAATAAAATATTTGTCCTGAAGGTCACTGTCTTGGGAGAAGCAGGCTTAAAGAAAAGGTGAAAAAAAAACCACCCCACCCACCTGATCAAGAAAGAAAAGTAACAGCAAATTGTAGGAAAATGGCCACAATGTGTAGGATCCACAGTGCTGCCTCAGAAGAAAAGAACAGCATGGGGAGGAGGGCCAAATGCTGAACAGATGTGTGCCTGGGAATATAAATGATGGTGCATGAAAGAGCTCTTTTCTGCTGGCTCAGTGAGTGTTCAAGGTAGTAAGGCAGCAATGTAGTCGGGATGCTTACGCACTTTATGTGCTGTGAGTAACAAGAACCAGAACATTCATACCATACCAGAAGCCCAGACTCTTCCATGCTCCTGGCCAGCTGGTGCCCTGGCCGCATGCGACTGCCTTGGTGCAGCGGAGACCTGTTCAATAAGGGGCAGCTTGTCTTCCAAGCACCCAAATCTGCCTTCTTTTTCTCTATAGAGTGCCATTTCACTGACTTGGCTGCTAGGACTCCAAAAATAGGGACAGGATTTGTTCCCCAGTAATACTTGCAAAAGGACATGGCTCCATAGAAAGGAGCCTGTACTTCAATGACATAGTGTTCCTGAATGTTAAAAAATAAAACTTTGTTCAAGAAAAGCTTGCAACCTGAAACAGTTTTGGTTTTTTGTTTTTTGTTTTTTTTTTTTTTTAATGACAGTAAAAGGACTCCCTTGAAGTGAGTCAGCCCCTCCAAATGCTAGATTCCTTTCTTAAGGAGACTATTAAGTATGAAAAAGAAATAACTGAAACTCAGGTTGTCAAAGTGCAGAGATGACTCTGTACTGTATGTGCACATCCATTGTATATGGAGGTCTTTCACTCATAGGTGGCTGGTAGGAGTGGGAATATTAGATCAGCTAAGTTCAGACCCCAGTTGTTTCTCTTTAAAGATTACTGAGGTACTGGGATTGATTCACATTTACAATAAGGCTGTTTATGTAAAGAGGACTGAAAATTGATTTATTTTGTGTACTCATGGTACAAATTTCAAGGCCTCTAAAAATTGCTGATGGGTTGTAAAGGGCTATCAGTATGAACAAGCATCAGGCCCATATATTTTCCTCACTCCCTCTACCCTTATCTCCCCTCCCCCATTAATTTTTGATTTTATGTTTATGAGGATCTGAAAATAGTCTAATTCTTTTCTATCTGGTTTGGGCCTATCTTTACCAGCTGGTAAATAGGAAATGTTCACTGTAGGAAGCCAATACTCTGCAGAGTGTAAACAGATGGAATCAATATAAAGTGACAAGTTAGACTGTGCTACTGAGAATACAGAGCCAAAACTAAGAGCATAACAGTCACGATACTTATTTTGTTCCAATTCATTTGGTACTGAATAGCACTTCATATATGCACAGCTGTGTCCTTCCATTTTTTACTTTCTTTCTTCTGGTTTGATGATGACAATTTCAAAGAAAAACTTTAATTAAAGATTTTACACAAAATGGCCCAAAGTAGAATATAGGGAAAATGAGCACTGATGTGTTTATAGCAAGAGAAGAATATTTTTCAGGCATTTATTTTCTTTCTTTCTTTCTTTCTTTTTTAACAAAACAAACAAAATCTGATGTGTGTATCTCTCTGCATGTAATACACTAGATTGATAGATCTTTGCAGATTGAAGTCTTCAATTTGGTAATAAGGTGTATATAACCATACCTCTAAAAGCTTCCCCATCACTTTCTCTCTTCCCCTGGTGCCTGTTACAGCAGGGTGCCATGAAGGGTGGGAAATCTAAGTGTATGTCTCTGCGCGGGTGTGCTGGCCAAAGGCAAAGGGACAGTCAGACAGAGAGACTGCTGTCAGTCTGTCCTGAGACAGACTGGAAGCAGGGATACTAAGGGTCTTCCTTTTCCTTGCCTCACCTGCATCTCCTCTGCTCTCGAGAAGGGTGTTTTGGAGACTGTAGATCTGATACACAGTCCTTTCAGGGACAGTTAGCGGGGTGGTAAGCTTCCAAGCTGTCCTGTGTTACAGGGTTTGCCTTGAAAGCACATCTGAGCTCTAGTCCTTTTGCCAGAGAAAGTGCCAGGTGTTATAGTATGGATTTTTCTTTACTAATTTATGCATTTTTGACACATTTTCACAAAAAATGGAAGAAGGCAGCATGTTTTGCCACTCTGTCCCCAACTTATTCCTTGCAGCACATTGCTTAATGCTGCCATTAAAATTTTGCTATTTTTGCTTTCTTGGCAAATAATAACCCCACATTTCCCATATGTTGTTTATTAGGGTGACTGTACAGCTCTAATGAGGGGCAGCAACCACAAGTTTGAACACAGATTTTGCTTCTGATCCTCATGTCAAGGGCAAGCAGCTTTTGTTTCCTGCAGAAGAAACACTGGGTCTGTCCCAGTCTCCTCCGTGTATATCCCCTGGGATAGGGAAGCCATCATAGTGCATCTGTGCAGAACTTCTCTGCCTCCCCATCCAGCCAGCTGCCTTCTCCGCAAAGCACAATTCTTCTCCTAACTATAATGCTGGGGGCCTGTTTGTCTCAGGGATTCCCTAAAACCTTTCAGACTAATTCAACATCAGAAAGAAGGTATATGTTATTTTAGGCAGAATTCAGGAGTCGTGGGGTAATAGGAGTGCGTGAAAGCCCCTTTCCAGATCTCCTTCCCACCCTTGCCAAATACGCTGAGCAACCAAGCAAGTTCCATAAAGGCTGGGAGAGGGAAACAACGCATATGACGCAGGTGGAACCTTCCAAGCCCAGATCCATGGGACATGCAGTTGCTGAGGAAAAAGCCTTGATGTAGGGAGATTAGCAATACTTGTGTGAGTAGGAAAATGAACTTCAGTGATTTGTGGCAGGACATTGTCTCACAATAAGCTGCAGTCTGCATAAGGGAGTGTCTGGAAGTTCCTCCTGTTGCAATGGTTGTAGAGGACGGGTTTTCAAAGGATATGCTTTGTGCTGCTGAAGTATAAGAAAATATTTAAAATATTCATTGTCTTTCTTCTTCCCAAGGGATCCCCAAGCGCTTCACATACATAAATGCTGCCGAAATGCAGTCACTGCTGGGGTGGGGAGCAGCAGCCAGCTGGCATGTGTCAGTGACAACAGAGCATGTTATGCCAAAGACACTATGGCAAGGCCCTGTGGTTGCTAAAAGTGCTGTGATATCACTAATACTCCAAAGAACAAACAGAACCATTGTTCCTAGTGTCTCTGCCGATGGATTCTGATAGCATAAACTGGTTGGTATGTAGCTTATCTAACCTGTAAGGACAAATGATTGTATCAAACTGGCAGAAAAATTTACCACCAGTGCCAGGCACCACAGTATCCAAACCTGTGCTTCACTCATTAAATAATACATTTCAGTTAAATCTGATTACAGGGAGAAATGAATTAAGATTGGTGCATTTCTTTCTCCATTAAAAGCTTGGAGTTGTGATGGAAACGTTTTGCCAGTCGTGGCAAAGAAGAGAAATCCTAGCCTATTCTGAAGTCTAATCCTTTCTTTGAGTTCGAATTTCCTTTGTTGTTTTATATCTATCACTATAGAAAAAGACTTTTTAAATTAATAAAAACTGTTTTTCCTTCCTTGTTCATGTCTTTAGCCAGATAAAAGGCTTTATCCTCTTCCACCCTTTTTTGCCAGGCAGAGTAGCCAAGGAGTAGTCAAATCTGCCTGATTCATAGCTACTTACTTTGGGCAACCTTTGCTTACATCAGTGGATGGTTATATCCACAAATAGGCCTATGCACTCTGCATAAATGCTCTGCAGTGGGAGTACTGGACTTGGAATCTCAACTCTTGGTGAAAACAAACAAGATACGAAATCTTGGCTCCATTGAAGTACTGACTTCACTCTGATCAGGATTCCCTCCAAGGACTTTCCTCCTCCTTACTCCTGGTAGCACCGCAGAGCATATGCAGCTGAGCTGGATTTAATTCTTTCTCAGGCAGCCGCATTCGAATGAGTGAGTAAGGAGCAGCGGCAGAATCTTTATTATTGCTGTTATTATGTGAGCCAGAAAGAACACAGCCTGACTCAATTCCCCAGTTGCATTTGCAGAAATAGCAGTTGAAAAGAGTGATATTTTTAAACAGGGCTTTGTTCTTGAAAGCTGAACAATTCAACACAGAACAGAGTAAGCATGGAAGACTTCAATACTACTTTTATTGTAAGTTTTCAGTTTGTAAGCTTACTTTAAGCTCCAGGTCGCTGGGATTTTTAAACAGACTTGGAGAAGACAGTTGCAATTGCGAGAATGTTAATATAGTTGTCAGTTTGTCCCATGTATACATTTTCTTTCAACCCCTAAGTCTTCTGGGTTTTGGTAATTTTTGAAGTGAAGTGAAAAAAAGAATGCTTTGGTATACGTAGAACAAATAATTCACTGATATTCTGGAGCTCACTGATACTTATGAAATGGGCTTTGATCTGTGGTATTTGGTTTCCAGCAAATCTCTAGGTTTCAGTCATTGAAGGAAGATCATCCTCTATCTACTCTTTAAAATATATGAATTGTATCTGAAATTCATTGCTTTGCCTAAAAGGGTTTTGAAGTTTACTAGTGCCATTTGAAGAGGAAATTGCCCTAGACATTGAGTAAATGCAAAATATTAATTTCTCATGGAGTGTTATTATAACATTTTCTACTGTGCCAGGGAAGATTGTCCTGTAGGACAAAATAGGTATAAAATGGCATTTTGTATTATATGTTAGCAAAGCTTTCCAGGGCTTGCGTTTGTGTCAGTTGTGTCAGTATTGGTTTCTTGTTCATTGAAATCACCTGTAATTTGTAGATTCCAAAGAATGTGAAAAACATTATCAGGTGCTGCAGACTTTTTGACTACAGCCATGCAGGATGGATACAGAGGCACACACTAAGGCACATTCTTGAGATCACCTGTTTTAGGATGAAGGACTCAGAATTTCAAAAGTAAGTAAAGAAACAGCTGTGATTTTTCTGTGAGAGCAATAGCAACAATAAGTGACGGGGCCTTTGTGATCTTCTGAATGACAGTGGCTGGGGGCTGCTTGCAGCAGGTTAATATGCTGGTTTATCTTCTGTATGCAAGTTGCAGCCTTCAGCCTTTCTCTGACTAAATGGATGTATGAATGTGCAAGGATAAATATGTTGTTAATTCATTCCAAAGAGATGAGTCCTGCATCAGAATTCATCCCAATCGGCTTGATTTTCAGGATGGGGGTTAAGATAATAGAGGGACAATGTGTGATTCAGTCTCACAGACTGACTTTAGGGGTGGATGTTCTTGGCCTCAGACCCAGGACAGGGTTGAGGAGTCTGCATGGAGGTGCTGGAGCTCACTCCACTCTGAAAGCTGAACAGAAGAGATAGTGAGAACCCCAGAGGCACTTCCAGAGGAAGAAGTAGTGAAAAGAGGAAAGGATTTCCTTACTGTTCTCATAAGAGGTGTTAGGACAGCCTGTTGCTTGGCCCCTTCAGTTTCTTTGACTGACACAGAATATACATAAGATCTTTTTGAAATATTATTCAGCAGAACCAATGTATCAAGAGAACAAAGTGCATGTACAGGACATACCTAAAATGGCCAGGAACCCCTCCCTTTCACAGCTGATTTGCAATTGTTGGCTTCTGAACGAGAAAGTGGATTTCCACTCCTGCTGAGATCAGGGAGTGGAGAAAGCTGAGAGCCATTGCCTCTCCCTGGAAAAAAGATCCTGATAACTAGGTGACTAGTGAAACGTTACCTTTGAAAAAGGCAACAGCTCTCATCAGCTCTGTTTCATGCTTTTGCTGAATTCTTGCAAGCGTTTTGAATATGACTGTTTTTCTGCCCATGGCATAGAAGAACACTTTTCTTTGAAATAAAGTGGTACCATGGCACATCTTCACATCCTGTGCAGCTTGAGGTGTTAAACGGGGAAATGTCGTATCATGGATACTATGATCTGCTTCCTCTCCCCTTAGCATGGTTTTCATGTGAAGTCATATGGTGAAATGCAAACTCAGAGGCTGCCTCCAAGTAGGGTGAAGCCAGAAAGCAAGGAGCGGCTTGATTCAGTGACCCAGTCCTCTAGGCCTGGCAGTTGGTTCACCAGGAACCTCAGAAGAAACACTTAAACTTTTAGGGCTGTAGTTTGCACAGCTACATAAGGCAATAACACTTGTTTACCTCAGAGGTACGATGTGAACCTTGATTAATGTTTGTATAGCATTTGGAAACTACATTGCTCTGCTTTTTAGTGGCAAATCAATGGCTAAGTATTAATATTGGGAGTCCATATGTGCTTCAGATATGATGGATACAGTGCCCTTACTAGTTTGTACTGGCAGAAGCTGTAGCAGAACCTGTTTTCTCAGAGCAGAGATGTGGGGATGGGAATTAGCCGGAGCTTATCTGCAGAACGGGTTGGAGGAAGGATGGTCCAGACATGATGGAGTAGGAGACTACATACCCAACGAGCATGTGGAATACCTCCTTAGTATCTTTGCTGACAGGCTGCTGTGAAATTATGCTTATAAGGCACTATGATGGAAATGTTGAAAGAGATCAAGCGATGAAAATTCCTGTGCATTGATGCCAATGACATGCAGGGAAATCATGTACAAATTGCCTTAAAACAATATGAATCTGTTAGCTGCAATGTGTAGTTGAAAGGCACTCAAAAGAGACTTCATGGCCTTGGGATAGTAAAGGAATCTGGAGCACAGGTTATTTTTTCCTCTCCTTCCAGTTGTGGGCAGTGACAATGAAAGAAACACACGGGCCCAGTCTATTAATATGTGGCTCCACGGCTGGTGTTGCCACCACAGTTTTGGGGTTTTCGATAATGGGATGGCCTACACAGCATCAGGCTTGCTGACATCAGGTGGAATTCACCTTTCTTAAAGGGGATAGAGAGTCTTCGCTCATGAGCTAGTGGAGCTCATTGATAGAGCTTTAAACTGGGCTTGAGCAGGGAGGGGGATAAATATCAGGCTTGCCTGTGACAAGCTGTGGGACAACAGGCAACGGTTAGAGGGATGGAATGCTAGAAAGGGCCCTCAGCCTGTTGCTCTGAGACATGCTGGCTACACTGGAGTCCGCTTGAAGTCTTACAGAGATGAGCCACAGGCTCCTGAAGTAATAGAACCCAACAGGGAAACACCAGTCAAATACCCCAAAGGAATTAAGGGGTGTTCCTCTAAGAAGGTGAAATGGCTGACAGCCCAGATGAATGCCTCTACAGGGATGGAATGCTAGAAAGGGCCCTCAGCCTGTTGCTCTGAGACATGCTGGCTACACTGGAGTCCGCTTGAAGTCTTACAGAGATGAGCCACAGGCTCCTGAAGTAATAGAACCCAACAGGGAAACACCAGTCAAATACCCCAAAGGAATTAAGGGGTGTTCCTCTAAGAAGGTGAAATGGCTGACAGCCCAGATGAAGTGCCTCTACACTAATGCATGCAGTATGGGCAACAAACAGGAGGAGCTGGAAGCCACTGTGCTGCTAGAAAGCTACAACCTAGTTGTCATTACTGAAATTTGGTGGGATGAATCCCATGACTGGAGAGCGGCTATCAATGGCTACAGGCTGTTTAGAAGGAACAGGTGAGGAAGGAGAGGCAGAGGCGTTGCCCTCTACATCAAGAAATGGGTAAAGTGTGAAGAGGTGTCTCTGAAGAATAGCCACGAGCAGGTTGCAAGCCTATGGGTAAGAACAAGAGACCAAGGCATCAAAGGTAACCTTGTGGTTGGTGTATACTGCACGTCACCCAATCAAAAGGAGCCTATTGATGAAGCCTTCTTACTCCAGGTAGAGGATGCATCGTGCTCGCAGGCTCTTATCTTGCTGGGGGACTTCAACCACCCTGACATCTGCTGGAAAAGTAGCACAGCGAGCTGTAGGCAATCCAGGAGACTCCTGGAATGCATTGAGGATAACTTCTTAAGTCAGGTAATAGACAGTCCTACCAGAGGGGATGTGATACTGGACCTGTTGGTCACCAATGCAAGTGAGCTAATCTGTGATGTCAAGATTCGAGGCAGCCTGGGCTGCAGTGGTCGTCCACTGGTGGAGTTTCCAGTCCTGAGGGATATGGATCAGACGAAGAGTAAAGTCAGGACCCTGAATTTTAGGAAAGCAAAATTCCAGCTCTTCAAGGAGTTAGTCAATAGGACCCCCTGGGAAACTGCCCTCAGGGACAAGGGAGCAGAACAGAGCTGACAGATCTTTAAGGACACTTCCCAGAGAGCACAAGAGCTATTGATCCTCAGGTATAAGAAATTAGGAATGGAAGGCAAGAGATGGGCATGGCTGAGTCGAAATCTACTGGTCAAACTAAAGGGCGGGAAAGAAATGCACAGGCAGTGGAAACAGGGACAGGTATCCTGGGAAGAGTATAGGGACGCTACGTGGTTGTGTAGGGATGGGGTCAGGAAGGTCAGGGTGCAGCTGGAGCTGAACTTGGCAGGAGATGCAAAGAATAACAAAAAAGGGAGGTCAGAGAAAGCATACTCCCCCCCCCAATGAGCAAGACTGGCAAACACCGAGCAGGGAGAAGGCAACAACTTTTTTGCCTCAGTCTTTACTGGCAACCTCTCCACCCACACTTCTTGAGTGGATGGACTACAAGACAGGGACTGGAGAAGCGAAGTCCCTCCCACTGTAAGAGAAGATCAGGTTCATGACCACCTGAGGAACCTGTATATTCATAAATCTCTGGGACCTGGCAAGATGCATCCCAGAGTCCTGAGGGACTTGGCTGATGTAGTTGCCAAGCCACTCTCTATGATATTTGAATAGTCATGGCAGTCAGGTGAAGTCCCTGGTGACTGGAAAAAGGGAAACATTGCACCCATTTTTAAAAAGGGTAGAAAGGAGGACCCTGGCAACTACCGACCTGTCAGCCTCACCTCTCTTTCTGGGAAGATCACGGGACAGATCCTCCTTGAGCCTATCTATGGTAAGGCAGATGGAGGACAGGGAGGTGATTTGAGACAGCCAGCATGGCTTCACCAAGGGCAAGTACTGTCTGACCAACCTAGTGGCCTTCTATGATCGAGTGACTACATCAGTGGACAAGGAAAGAACTATGGATGTCGTCTACCTGGACTTCTGGAAGGCCTTTGGCATGGTCCCCCACAACATCCTGCTCTCTAAATTGGAGAGATACGAATTTGATGGGTGGACTGTTTGGTGGATGAGGAATTGGTTAGATGGTCGCATCCGGAGGCTAGTGCTCAACAGCTCAATGTGTAGATGGAGATCAGTGACGACTGGCATCCCTCAGGGGTCCATATTGGGACCAGTACTGTTCAATATCTTCATCAATGACGAAGAAAGTGGGATCAAGTGCACCCTCAGCAATTTTGCAGATGACACCAAGCTGACTGGTGTGGTTGACACACCTGAGGGAAGGGATGCCATCCAGAGGGACCTGGACAAGCTTGAGACATGGGCCGGTGTGAACCTCATGAGGTTCAACAAGGCCAAGTGCAAGGTCCTGCACCTGGGTCGGGGCCACCCCCAGTATCAATACAGGCTGGGGGATGAACGTATTGAAAGTAGCCCTGCCAAGTTTGACTTGGGGGTACTGGTGGATGAAAAGATAGACATGAGCTAACAATGTACGCTTGCAGCCCGGAAAGCTAACCATATCCTGGGCTGCATCAAAAGAAGCGTGGCCAGCAGGTCAAGGGAGGTGATTCTGCCCCTCTACTCCACACTGGTGAGACCCCATCTGGAGTACTCCATCCAGCTCTGGAGCCCTCAGCACAGGAAAGACGTGTTGGAGTGAGTCCAGAGGAGGGCCATAAAATGATCAGAGGGCTGGAGCACCTCTCCTATGAAGACAGGCTGAGAGACTCAGGGTTGTTTAGCCTGAAGAAGAGAAGGCTCTGGGAAGACCTTACTGTGGCCTTATAATTCTTGAAGGGCCGCAATAACAAAGATGGGGACAAACATTTTAGC